GAGGAGGAGGAGGAGGAGGAGGAGGAGGAGGAAGAGAAGGAGGATGAGGAGGATGAGGAGCAGGAGAAGGAGGATGAGGAAGAAGAAGATGAGGAGGAAGTTGAGGAGGAGGAGGAGGAGGAGGAGGAGGAGGAGGAGGAGGAGGAGGAGGAAGAGGAGGAGGAGGAGGAGAAAGACGAGGAAGAGGAGAAGGAGGAAGAAGAAGAAGATGAGGAAGAAGAGAAGGAGGAGGAGGAGAAGGAGGAAGAAGAAGAAGATGAGGAAGAAGAGAAGGAGGAGGAGGAAGAGGAGGAGGAGGAGAAAGAGAAGGAGGGGCAGGAGGAAGATGAGGACGTAGAGGATGACGAGGAAGAGGAGGGGGTGGAGGAGACAAAGGAAGATGAACAAGATGAGGAGGAGAAAGAGAAGGAGGGGGAGATGGCAGCAGAGGGAGAACAGGAGAAAGAGGACGAGCGACGGAGGAGGAAGATGAGAAGCAGGGATGCTAATGCGAGTGCAGGTGCGCGCTTATGCCAGCCACGTGAAAGCGAGAGACAACGACATGACGACGGCATCAGCAGGACAGGAGAAGATGAAGAGGAGGAGAAGGATGAGAAAAAGGAGGAGGGGAAGGAGGAGGAAGAGGAGAAGGAGAAGGATGAGAAAGAGGAGGAGGAGAAGGAGGAGGATGAGGAAGATGAACAAGATGACTAGGAAGATGAGGAGCAGGGATGCTAATGCGAGTGCAGGTGCGCGCTTATGCCCGCCACGTAAAGGCGAGAGACAACGACGACGACGGAATCGGCAATGGCGGCCGTGGCGGGGACGTGGCTTCTGCACCTGGCTGTATCTCCGGCAGCGCGTACGGGTCTGCATCATCATCGTCGTCTTCCGGCGGCGGCGAGGCGTCCGCGGTTTCGTCGACGTCTGCACGCGATCCCGTCGAAAGAAAGTGCAGGCGAGAAAAGCATGTGTTACTGTGTTAGTCGCAAGCGGGGTCGTCTCTCGCTCCCCTCTCGGCGCGCCGCCCGGAGAGGGCGCCGGGGTTAGCGGATCCGGATCAGCCGAGTGCCGCGCGTGCGAGGGAAGCGTAGAGGGCGCCGCGGCGACGACGCTCCCAGTGCGAGAGGGCGCCGCTAAGTGCACCGCTAGGTGGCTCCCTCTAGATGAGGTCGTCGGGTTGGAAGGAAGTCGAAAGGACGTCTCCGTGGAGTGAGGAAGGAAGAAGGAGGAAGAGGGAGGAAGAAGCTAGGGATGCTTTACGAATCGTTCCACGCTCGTGTCACGATCACGATCGAAATCCTGACCGTTCGGCTGCGGAAGACCCAGCGCGGGAACCCCGCTGTTATTGTTTCGAATTCAAAGCGAGTTAAAAAAAAAACTGAAAAAAAAATCGGGTCGTGACACGCACTGCCTAAATTAGTAAAGCGGGATGATTGCGGCCGATCGAGCAAACGACAACAGCACGCAGCCTCTCGTGTGGTGGGCAGACGCCGCTGTCGCGCGAACAACATACGGTCGGTACATGTACATACGTGGACGCACGACCCTTGCTAACGACTCACACTGGTATGAGCGACGATGGCACACAGATCTGAACCTACACGCGACCAAGGCGCTAAATATAACAAGGAGAGGAAGCACCGCCATATCTGGCCCAGATTTGGGTTCGGCAAAGACCCTAGAACAGATTAGTGTTCTATTGTCTGTGGGTTCGGTCTGCACAGCCGTTTCAGCTGATTATGGTCCATAGATGGCGCCCTTGAGGCGAAAAGCACACAGCCAATCCGCTTCCTCTCCTTGTTATATTTAGCTCCTTGCACGCGACGACACTTCTACTTACGCAACGTGTGTTAGTGTTGTTAGCGGCGGTGCGAAGAACGCCCCCACACGCACGCACGCAACGACGTGGTACATTAAAAGTTCGAGACTGCATATACAACTTTTAGTTTTAGTACATTTTAAGTACACATAAGAGATAATAAGACTCTTCCTCTCTTTCCTTCGCTTTTCTGTCTCTTGACGCAACATGCATGCAGTGCTTTAATAACGCACTTGCATCACAATCATCGTCGTCGTCGTTTTCGTCATCAAATGCATGCACGTGGCATCACCTCGCGTTCAATAAATATTCGATTGAGATTTACATTTCGATTCGATCGACAATTATTTCGATGAGAGCGTTGCACATCATATCGATTCAATACGATGACATCACGATGGAAAAATATCGATCTACTTAATTAATATGATCTAACTTGACTTGAATAGCTCACATCGCTTACGATTCAAAATCGCAACAATTAATTGACGTGGTAAAATCACTTCCAAAACGTGTTGATTTGCACGCGGTTGTAACTAAGCAACATGGAAACAAGATGGCTGCCGGTCTATGCGCACACTGGCACGAAATCGCTACGCAAGACAGATATTTGCAGGAATAAAACTACACACACCCACACACGAACATCTACGACTTAGTTGCCAGGTGCAGCATAAACGGAGTAACCCCGATGTTAATCTATCAATATACTGAAACTCAGGATTCACACTTTCCTATCTGCTCCCTTGTACGGCTTATCACTGACGACTCGTACTGTCGCATTCGACTCGCAAAATCTCGACTAGTATTGTTTATTACACGGACAGTTCAGTGTTATATGTCCACGTTTCAGTCCATCTCTGCTTCCCTTGTTTTTTTGACGATACGACCACTGCGTTAAAGCTTTTGTTAATGCTACGGAACAGACACGTACAACTTGCGTGGACTAATTACTACAATTCACTACTCACAGATGGCACCACTTACCGCCTTCAGGCGTCTGCTTCAGAACATCGTCGACGCGCTTTTTGTAAAATTCCATTTGCTTTGCGTCTCCTCGGAAAACGGCTACACACGGATAACACTATTAACATGAGGATGTTACGCCTTAACAAACCGTTTTAATTAAATTTTGGCGAAATGAAATCACCTGTGTGTGTAGCATGTTATTTTTCATTAAATAAATTAAATGTATTTAATTAATTTAATTAACTGTCATCTATTTACCTTTTCAACGAGTCACAACAATACAACATTATCACATTAACATATTAACACTATTAATACTAAGATGCTGCATCTTTAATCAGGTTATGTTGACGCTGTTTTAAATAAATTTACTGAAATAAAAATCACATGTGTACGTAGCATATTATTTCGACTATAATTCAATTTAATTTAATCAATTAATTGAGTGTTTCCCTCCCGAGACATGTTGAAGGTGCGCATTGCACGTCGCAGATAAAACGACCTCGTCAACTTACCGTCGATCAAGTAGAACAAGTCAAACATCGGCCACTCACACTCGATCCCATCGAAATTCTGAAAAACCGCAGCGAAAAATTTGGAGGCGAATTCACCTTGGTCTCTCTCTCTCCCCCTCTCTCTCTCTCTCTCTCTCTCTCTCTCTCTCTCTCCCCCCCCCCCTCTCCCCCCCCCCCTCTCTCTCTCTCTTTCTCTCTTTCTC